TTGGGGAGCGAGACATCTGCACTGTAGAGTAAGATATCGTCCTCATACACATAGCAGTCGACATCAGCAAGGATAAGCTCATAGAAATCGTGCATTAGTATTGTGAAGAAAATTGGAGATAAAATGGAACCCTGGGGGACACCACTTGTAAACTCACAGCTTCTTGAAAGGACCCCTCTCCACTTTACTATTATTGTTCTCTGCTTCAAGAAATTAGCAATCCAGAGGACACTATTCCCTTTGACACGGATTTGCATGATTTTATAGATCAAGCCATAATGCCAAACTGAATCAAATGCGGCTTGAGATCAAGACCCACTAGCTGAACAATCTTTCTTTGCTTCTTTGGTGCAGGATGCTGCTGAACAATTTATTAAGCAGGACCAGGCAACTTCTATTCCGAATAAATATCTGAGAGCCTTTTACTTTGCTGAATCCTCGAAAGTAATCTATTGAGAACCATCCTTTCCATCACTTTGGCTAGAATTTGAGTTAAAGAGATTGGTCTGTAACTAGAAACCAATGAAATTGTCGTCCCCAGGTTTTAAAAAAGGAATAACAATAGCTTCTTTCCAATTCTTGGGGATCAGACCCGAATTCCATGAGTTGTTGCAGGCCTCAAGGAGCGCTTGCTTGCAGTCATCAGTCAAAACTGTAATAGCACATCTTGTGAGGTCATCTTGCCCCGGAGCAGAGTTTCTAAGACTTCTGATAGCTTTATCTAGTTCTGAACCTGAGAATGAATTATTAATACGGCTACTCTCTTCTCCACTAAAGTTCAGGGGAATGAATTTTTTACTAGTGAATCTGGAATAATACTTAGCAAACATTACGCTCTGCTCTTCTGCAGATCAGGTGTGGGCGTCCTGGTACTTTAAGATGTTGCTCGAGAACTGGACCTGTCTATTCTTATTTTGAATATTTTTTACTATCTTAAATAAATTGCCATCCTTTCTGGTATGACTACAAATTTTTCTTAATACAGCCTTCTCTTGATTTTAATGACCCTCTTAAGGAAAGCGTTCCATTTCTTGTAAGATTTCCAGTAATCTCTTGAAAGACGAGCTTTAGCAAGTTTAAGGCATTATTTTTCTGGCCTAGAATAAAGTTACATTCTGTGTCCCACAATAACTGTTTTTGCGTTGAATCACTATCTTTGTAAGATTCTCTTTTTTCGTAGTGCTCAAGATGCGGTTGACATTATCTAGGTTTCTTTCTCCTGAGCTCAAAACCCTGATCCTGTTACTGCTTTCTGTAGCGAACTTCTTCCAGTCACAGTGAGCTATTATTCTCGGAATGCCAGCAGCTGAGACGTTGCTATCACTTGTGAACCTAATTTTTATAGGGTAGTGGTCACTGCTTTCAATTGTCCTTAGAGCTCGGCTGACCACAAAGCAATGTCAATGCAGGATTCAATTCCTCCGGGACTTGCATGGGTGGGCTTCCCAGTGTTTGTAATGCAAAGGTTGTTGTTTTTACGCCACTGCAATACGCTCTACCCCCTGCTGACAGCCTGCTCGACCCCCAAGCCGGGTTGTGACAGTTAAAGTCACCTAAGATCATAAATTTGCCAGGCAGCGTAGCCAATACTTTATCACACTCTTTCACACTGAACTGGCCATTAGAAAGGTAAACGTTGATCACTGAAATATCGGAACTATTTGCTCGAAGACCTACTCTCATAATTTCTTCTCCCGCTATGTCATAACTACGATCTTGTATAGATACGCTTGCCCATTCTTTCTTGATAGCAATCATCAGCCTCTCCTTGGTAAGAGCTTAATCTATCTTTGCGAAAAATAACTTTGTCAGGCAAACAAAAATCGTCTAAGTTAGAAGGCCAGGTCTCCTGGATATCTAAAACATCACAGAAAACTTCTTTCCTGCTAATGATAAAATTTCTTTTGTTAGACATGCTTCTTGCATTCCATGAGCAAATCGTTGGCCGCCATCGAACTAGATGAGAAAAGAAAGCTAAGAAAAATACAGGGAAAAACTCATTCTTTGAATAAAACCACAGCTTCTAACTTTGGCTAAATTTTTTTGGTTTTGACAAGTCATGCTTGCTTCGAATGCAGGCTTCCCATGTTATAGACTCGGATTTAGAATGAGGCTTCTTGCCCCTTGCTTCTTACTAGTTCTATTTCCGTAATATGCTCATCCAAGTTAGGATCACTGTCGGGTTCAAAAGCTCTTTTTCCAATATGCTTGTCTCTACTACATTCTGATATCTCGCTCAACTTTGTATCGAGCTTCTCTTGCAACTTGTTAAATACTTTCATACTTTTGGTCCAACCCTGCTAAGATTCTTTCGAAATATTCAGTCTGCTGTTTTAAAGCACTTTCAGATCCCTGAAGAGCAGTTATTATTGGAGTCATGACGTTCAGGAAATATTCCTTTGCAGGATTTGACACTTGAGTTCCTGCCACCTTTGCATAAGAAGTTTTATTTGCTACAGCCTGCCTAGCTTCTACTACGAGTACGTGATGGTTAGCACTATATTTGAGAATATTGCCCTCTTCGATGCATTTGGGGCAATTCTTCGAGGATGTTTCATGTGAGTTACTACACAACGCACACTTGATCTGCACACTCTGACACTGTGCTATGGTGTGATTTTCACTACATTTGCTACATCTTACTAATCCTCTACAGCTTTTAAGCCCGTGACCAAACCTCAGACATTGAGGACGTTGCCTTGGATTATTATGCCTTGGACGTTGCCATATCGTTAGAATGTCTATTAAAAAATTTGCCACGAGAAAGAAGTAAGAAATTACGCAGTCTTTGTTAAAGATGTAGAGAAAAATCTTACAATCCTAAAATTTTAAAAGATGAAATATCCAGCAAAGTGTCTTTAGTTAAAGATACTGAGTTCATTAAAATTATAAGGGATGAAAGGCTTCTGATAAATGGCTAAATGCGCCTGGGAAATATTAAACATAACAGAATCATAACGTAAAAAATGATTGCGATACGGAACTGACAAGCAAATTTCTTCATTCCCAGTAGAGTCGAGCCTCAGAGCTGATAATGAGCTGAACCACAATAATGATACTGAAGTATTAAATTTGAGAAGATTTATGTCAAAAGCCAGACAGTAACAAGAAGCCCTCGGAACAACAACAACAAACTCTTAAACCGCTCTGCTACTGAAAGCGTTGTAACTATTCTAATTGTTACAAAAACGATTGTTAAGTGTAACGATTGGAATCCACGTTTCTAACCACTCCGTTATCTCACTCCGATGATAGGCAGGAGGAGACAGGTGCTAACTACCAAAGTCGGCAAAAGCCAATATAGGCTAAAACTGGGCAAAGCACGTCAACTAAGCAAAAGAGCTTAAAAAAAAAAAAAAAAAAAAGCTGCCAAGCGGCTAATGAGCAGGGGTGCCTTTCGGCAAGAACAAAAGCCAAAATTAGTCTAAGAAGGGAGAGTTATTACGGCTAAAGAAGGGGAACAGGGAAATGAAGCAAAGCTTATCGACTAAAAGGGGCTGAGTCGATAGGCTTTGCTTCATTTCGCCTGTTCCCCTTCTTTTTAGCCGTAATAACTCTCCCCTTCTTAGACTAATTTTTGGCTTTTTGTTTCTTTCCTTTTAGCCGAAAGGCACCCCTGCTCTATTAGCCGCTTGGCAGCTTTTTTTTTTTTTTTTTTTTTTTTTTTTTTTTTTTAAGCTCTTTTGCTTAGTTGACGTGCTTTGCCCAGTTTTAGCCTATTGGCTTTTGCCGACTTTGGTAGTTAGCACCTGTCTCCTCCTGCCTAATCCGGAGTGAGATAACGGAGTGGTTAGAAACGTGGATTCCAATCGTTACACTTTAACAATCGTTTTGTAACAATTAGAATAGTTACAAAACACCACAGTTGCTTTCAGTAGCAGGAGCGGTTATAAGAGTTTGTTGTTGTTGTTCCGAGGGCTTCTTGTTACTGTCTGAGCTTTTGACCATAAATCTTCTCAAATTTAATACTTCAGTATCATTATTGTGGTTCAGCTCATTATCCAGCTCTGAGAGCTCGACTTCTACTGGAATGGCCGACAGAAGAAATTTGCTTGTCAGTTCCGTCATGGCAAGCATCGGGGAAACATTTACGCTATGATTCTGTTATGTTTAATATTTCCCAGGCGCATTTAGCCATTTATCAGAAGCCTTTCATCCCTTATAATTTTAATGAACTCAGTATCTTTAACTAAAGACACTTTGCTGGATATTTCATCTTTTAAAATTTTAGGATTGTAAGATTTTTCTCTACATCTTTAACAAAGACTGCGTAATTTCTTACTTCTTTCTCATGGCAAATTTTTAATAGGCATTCTAACGATATGGGCGGTTTTTACTGAAAGTCCGGGCTTGACCCGTTCTCCGAGCTCCACTCCTTTATTCTTCATTACAGTTTGCGAGTAAGCGCAAAATAGACTAGAAAAATTCTCCTACCTATATGCTTTTCTGTAAATACCAAACCAGAAGAACAAAATAACCTGTATTAAACTTTACTTAAAACGCAAAACTAATCACCACTACACAGGAAAAAACACCGCACTTTACCTCGTAGCGCTTCGCCGAAGTAAAAAAGACCGTAATTATTTTACTTACTTATTGTTTCCTTCCTTCCTGACAGTTTTGCACAAGGCTCCAGTACTTCCAGTCTAAAAAATTAAGCCCTGAACTAAAGCGCAGACACATTTTTACTCACGACAATATTTTTCATCATCTTTCAAGTTTTTAGCATCTTATTTTTATTTATAATTTCTATTACGTGAAATTTCTATTATTCTTCTTCTACCTGATCCTATGCACTGACGAATGACAATGCCTCTCCTCGTTGAATTTCACACACAGAGGGTTATTACTTTCGATTACTCTCCAATAATTTGTGTATTTCTTTCATATCTTCATGATTGAGTGAAAGTCAGGATAAACAACTAGCTCCGAGTTCAGAAAGGAACATTTTGCAACGCATGTATGAAGATGCATTCACTTTGAATTAGGGTATTACTAGATTTTAAAACAATTTTAAACCAAGGAGGCTCTAACCTCCTTGGTTTTACCTGCAACTCTCGAGTGTTCCCTGGTGGTCAGTAGTACAACGAATATATTTCCGGTTTTATGTGTGAATGTTTTCATTGTGAAGTTTTCTTCAATGTTTTGCAAATTGTTGTGTATACGGTAAATAAACTGTGAGTGAGCGTGTAGTTCTGTCATGTTTCTTTAGTAATTTAGGTGCGATCGCGTACTTAAGCATTATTTTCTATGCCACTCTGATTTTCAACTCGAGGGACAGAATTATTTATGGTAATATAATATGAAAATCAGTTCAATTTCTTTAATAGAGGAATTTATTTAATTATAGCATTATTATTTTGTAGTTTTGCCCTTTTTGTGTTGCAATAAATTTAATCAAATGATAAAGTTTCCTTTCTTCCTGTATATCAACTGCCATAAAAAAATTAAGATTTCCCCTTCACAGACTATATCATGCTGTATTTTAAATTTTAACATGCTTATTATAAAGTTTCTGCTACTGTACTTAGGATTTCTAAATCCTTTATTTGATATGATGTCATAAAACTAATTGGAGAAGTATTTATTATTAGGGAAAACCTGAAATTTAGAATTTATGTTTAATTTGTATGCATTTATTTTTGCATAAGATTTATGATATTACTTTTCTATGGGGAAGGGAGAAGTTAAGAGTTAGTAAAATAGAAATTTTGCTGTTGTCAAAAGCATTTTCACTACAAGTCATTAAGAGGTTTACAAAAAAATGGCCTGTGAATGTTTTTAAATGGGAATATTTCAGTTCCTTGTTTTGTAAATGTCTGCCTAAATACACATGTCGTTTAAAAGCTACCTTAAAAGTAAGAAAGCTGTAATTTACTCCTGCAGTGCTATTTCACAAAATAATCATGTATTGATTTTTGAGTTAGACAAAATTGAGCTTTAGTTACAGGTAATTTTAGAAAAATATTATGTGTATTTCAAGGTAATCTGAATTGTATCTTTGTGTTTTTGATGGGAAAAAAATTGTTAAATACTTTTGCTTCACAAAAAAGAAATGTCCTCATCACATTCTGTCAAATAACATGGAGTATTTTTCAAAAATTATTTTTAGTCTAAGATCAAATTAAGTTCAAGGTGCCATTTTCAACCTGTATATGGTGTGCTGAGTGTTAAATTTCACGATAGATTTGATGGACTTCTTTTGCGCTTTAATTACTGATTGAGGTGACAATTTTTTTTTTATTGGCTAACATTATAGTTGGTTGTTAATCATTTTAATGGTTTTAAGTAGATCCATCGCATATGTATTTAATCTATTTAGCAGAGCTCTATGTAATGCTCAGTTTATATTTCATTAAGAAAAATGGCAGGAATTTTTCAATATAAAAAAACTTGTAACTTTGTCATTTCTATTGTATTTATTAAATTTTACAGTATTTTAATTCATTCCTGTATTCCCATCCACATTTGACCTATTAAATGCTATATGACTTATTTTTATGTAGTCATTTTATCTTTAACTCTTTCACCACCAATTCGCCCCACACGGCCCTACATTGAGACAACTAGAACCGTCCGAAAATGGCCGAGATTGCAATCTTGTTTTCTTCCCCTCCTAAGGTATGCAGTAGCAAGTGCAGTTTCCCCCAAATGTATTGTATCAGTTTACTGCGAACAGCTTGTCGTAAGAGGTTTCTTATCTTTTGGTTGCTCGTGACATTTTGTTGCTGATTCTTTTTTGGAACAGTATGCTTTTAAGCTTTAAACAGCAATAAAAGTGCAGTTTAAAAATTTAAGGATTATATTTATTTTTAATCAATTTATTCCTTCCTATAAAAATAATGGAAGTAAACAAAATCTCAGTCGTGAATCATAACAAAGCCACAAAGGCTTGTTAGTCTGACCTTCAGAATAGCTTTATAAAGAATGGAGTCGAAGGCTAATGGAATCTTAGAAAGTACAAGGGATGTCATTCGAAATCTTCACACCTATTTTCTGCATTAATGGACAGGGAGGGGAGGAACTTGTTGTGAAACTGGAAAAGTATTTCGGGTGGTTCGGATATTTTGAGGATACAGGTTAGCAAAGGGTCTGCGTTTCAAAGAGTTAATGAGTTAAAAACTGCAGAATTTAATACCAGGTTTAGAAGTTCTAAATAAGAGAACATGAATTTTCTTTTACAATTTTTTATTAGAAAACACTTTCTTATTTATTTATTGTGTAAAAGTCTCAGAACTGCATCTCAAGCCTGTAGCAAGGAATCATGCACTAATCGTCTCATGAACCCATTGATTAAACTCATAATTTTCGCAAGCAGTGTGTAACTTATCACGTGTACCACAAAAGAATTATACGCACAAAAAAATTATTGCATGCGTAAAATCTTCATGTATAATTTCTCTAATTATTTCCGTTCAGTTCCTGTAAGTTACAAAAGAATTGTTTCTAAACTATTTTCTGAATGAAAAATTTTCTTAATTTATTTGAAATGCATTATTTTTAAAGAACTGTAATTTTATGTTAATAAACACCAGTATTAAATCTGGGAGTACTAGAGAAGACTAATTGAAACTAAAAATATCCTTCCTATAATAGTCTCCTAGCTTTGGCTTACATGTTAGCTTTGATTTTAAGCAGAAAATGATAGTAAGATGCCTGTATATTATTTATTTCAACAACTAAATGCCCCTTATTTTTATCTCATTGAATTGCTTAAATTTGTTACAAAGACCAGCTTAACAGGGTTAGTTTACAACTGATCATCTTATATAAATTCAAATTTTAACATCAAATATGAGACATGTTTTATTATATTCTTTGTTAGCATTGCTGTTGAGATTAAAAAAGTAATTACAGTACTTATGTATTATTTCATTAACTGTAAAAGCTGGCTATGGAACTATGGAATTTGGCAAAAATCTGAGCTACATTTTTATCTGCCCCTAACAATAAAATATTCGACAGTCTCTCTGCACAATTTACCAAATAGCCTTTTTAGTGGAAGTTTTTGTGCTTCATTAAAAGGCATTTGTCAATTTGTACTATTTTGTTAGGCCTTCTGATTTTACCAGAAGCTCTGTTTCAAAAGCCATGACTACAAAATTTCTTCAAGTAATTGCTTCAGTCTATTACTGTTTTGTCGGCCACATCCAGCTTTTCTTTCCGAATTTAACAGATGTTAATTATCTCGACTGAATCGGAATGTACTCATAAATATGATTTTGCAGACCTTGCGTTCATTTTTTTTTAATGCAAGTTGGGGGAATACAGCAATAATAGTTAATTTAAGTCCTTGTTCATGAAAACTTACAGCTTATCAAGAATCAATCCAGTCAACGGAAGTATAGTTGCTATGGGTGTGTTGTGACATCAATCACTCTCATTCATAATTGTCGCTAAATTGTGCTGTTTGGTTATCCATAAGTACCGTAATCACTTGTATAAATTATGTATTATATATATAGAAAGTTTTTTCTGTGAAGTTTTAAAAATTAAAGTCAGTATTTAACTTCTCCATTCATTTCTTTGAAGCAAAATTTTCACATAAACTAGAAAGTTTTTGGCTTACTGAAGAATTCTAATGTGAGCATTAAAAATGGAATTAAAAAATGAAATACTAAGTTGCTGTGCATAAAATTAATCTTTGATTTACATCATGTAATGAGCAGCAAAAATCATTTTGCCAGAATGCTGTAATTGATAATTGTATGTCATCTTCTACATGTGTTGTGTGTTTAAATACATAATCTTTCTTTACCACTCAGTTGAGTCTGAGCATTTCTTCAAAACTCTTGATTTCGACTTTAATACTTCCTTAGTTTGATAGTTTTACAAATAAGCTCTGAAAGAATTGCCTTTCATTTTTTACCTTAACTGCAGATGCTAAAAAAAAAAAAAAAAAAAAAAAAAAAAAAGCTAAAGTGTTTGTATTAAAGAATGAAAATAAATATGTGCTACAGGGAAAGTTGATCTCCAAGTTATTTTCTTGAAACTTAGAATTCTTTTAAAAATATCCTCTTTCTGTGGAGTGATGTCATTCATTTATATGGCAGCATTGTTTTAAGATATATCCATAAACCTTGAGAAATCATAATTGCAAAGAAGTAGGGGGTCAAGGGTGAAGGTACTTGTGATGGTGCTTTGGCTTTCTATAACTGAACAAGTATCACATCATGAGGATCTCCTAATTCTATGAGTTTATTGATGGGAGTGATATAAGGTACATGTTTTGCATAGTTAGGTGTCAGTTTTCTTTTATTATTTGTTGTTTATTTATTATTTGCTGTTAGTTTACTTTTATTATTTGCTGCCTCCCTTTGTTGCTGCTTTTTTACCTGCATTTTTCACTAATCTTGTGAGATCTTGATTGTTGTTACTAACATCACTCTGAAGTATATATCTTGCCATCTCTGTTATCTTATGTTTCAATTCACTGAAACAAATGGTTGCTAAAGTCTCATATACAGGCACGCATTCAAACCTGGCCTGTGTGCACTCTATATTGACTAAGTTATCAAACATCTGGCATAGAATTAAAACAGCATTTTTTTCATTATACATTAATAAGGTATTGTCTATATTTTTTCCTATTACCTGCATTGACCTTCTCAATGTGCTTCTTACAAAATTTTGGTATGCAGCGACAGATGCATGCTTTCATTCAGTGCATCATGCTACCACTGTTACATATATGTAGCAACTACTGCCTTTTAATAGACCTTGGTAGCAGACCTTGTTTCTGCACAGTACAATACAGTATAGCATTATTATGAGACCAAAACATTAACTATCTTTGCTGTATGTCTGGGTGTAATTTCAAACTGGCACTGGCATGTTTCAATTCTAATATTTCCTAAGCATTTGTAGGATTATAATTGTCAAGAATGTCTAGGTGTATTTACTGGTTATCAGTTTTAGATATGATAACTGATAGGCTAGAATCATGTTATTAAAAACATTACCACATGAGTACTGTGCTGTATCTAAACTAGACAGTAGAAGCAGTACACTGATAAACAGCATTCCCTTTGGCTGCTGTTATACCCACACATATCCATCAAACTGGTACATCATATATCTGGATTAGTTAATCCAAAAGATGGATTTCTATTATTCTGCTGTCTAAGATATATGTTGTTTGCATTGTGCTAAATAACAAATAACATTTATAGTTAAGAAGATTGGCATACGAACAACTGCCTGATCACAGAAGTCCAATGGAATGAAGTTTTATGCAAATGGTGTGCATACATAACAAGGTTCCAGCATTTGTATTCATATGCTCATTGAGATCTTACATAGTTACTTTGGTAGTTAGATATGGTGACTCTCCTGAAATTTTAGTGTCGTCTATCACTGATTTCCTTCAATTTACTGGTATATTTTACTACGTGAGGTACACCAGAGTCATAGCTAGGGTTTTCAGCGCCCAGGGACAACTGAAGATTTCGTGCCCCCTACTGCTTGCCAAGGATGGAAAACATTTAATTCTAAAATGTCATAACATCAGTTTGGTGCCCCTTGGATTCTGCGCCCAGGAACAGATGCCCTCTTGCCCCCCTCTAGCTACGTCCCTGAGGTACACAGTCTTCCTTTGAGTTCTATTCTGAAAGTAGAAATGTTCACCAGATTAAAAAAAAGGGGGGAAGAAAGAAATAGGACCTGTTTGTAAGTTCTGCTTGATTTTTTTAGATGAATACTGAATTAAAACATAAAATACATATGCAATAAAGTTTTTTAATATTAAGTCAGCATTAGTTTCTTCTCTAACAGTAGCCAAATTGCAGCAAGGTAATTGCACCAATACGTAAGTACCCAAATTAATTCATTTTAATTTAATGGGTGTCTAGTGACTTCTGCCTGTATGTGTATTAAAATAGTTTCTTATTAACCCCAACTATCTTCTAAATTAAATTTAAAAAAATTATTTCATTTTTTTTTTTAAATAATGCATATATTTCTTTCTTTAGAACTATGTCAAATTTAACATCTTCTGAGCTGGATCAGTATACTTTAGTGAAAAGTGAACTTAATAAATTTATACTGGATGAAACTGGACAAGATGCTCTGAGGTAATATGTGCATATCAAAAGTTAATTTTTTAATTTTTCATGTCTTATTAAAACAATGATGGGTATTCTCTGATTACTTACACACCTTACAAGAATCACTGGCAACACAGAATTTTATGAAAATGTATTTATCTGGGAACCCATATGCCAGCATATAATGTACATTGTTTTGAAATATGAGAATCATGCTTGTGGTTTCTGCTTGTTTCTGATTAGTGTGTGAATTTTTTTTTAACCTTGTAACAAATCGTAATGTCACTGTGGAATTTGCTAATGAAAAAAAAAGTCTTGCTCTTTTTTCTGAAATATGGCATTTTGCCTAGTACTAAAGAATGTAAGAAAATGAACTCCATGTAGTTCTATTTTACAAATGATTGTGATAGTAGCTTTTTCCGAATAAGTGATTCTTTTTTTTTTTTTTTAGTCATAATAGCTTTATCCAAATTTGTGCAACTTTTCTTAATGATAATTGCTTTTTTTAATTTATGCAGTTTTCTGATCTTGCAGAGCATTTGGACAGTTAATGATGGGAAATAATTTATAAATATTTTCTATTGAGCTTAATTTTTTAGCTGTTTTAGAAATAGGCATGCTGATTTCAAAACTGTAGTTAGTTTTCTTCTACCACATCATTTTTTTTTTTTTCTCTACACCTCATGTGAATGTGATTACGCTCCACAGCATCAAGTGTAGATCATAGGAAGTACTACTGCTGTCCTTCTGGTTAACTTATATCCTCCAACTGGCACTGGGTGAATGGCGTCAAAGGAGACCAGCGATAGCTGTGTACATGTCTAGACTAGTTTGGTTACGCCAGATACCGTAGTGAGACGTTGTGTGTCACTCTGATATAGGCATGCCAACGTGGAGTCTGAGTTCTTGTTTGTATTCCAGGTTAGCGGTGTTTAGTTTTTGTTTATATATAAACTGAAGCCTTTTCTTACATCAGCCTTTGCTAGTTCATGTTGTAAGTGCTTAAGCAGCCCCAGTTTGTTTTGTTATATATGTGGCATTCCCAGTCAAAGGAGAAACATCAGTACATTTGTCAGGCAGCGTATTTTGCCAATTTTTTATGAAAATTTGTGATAAAGATAAATCATGGACCCCTCACAAAGTGTGCAAATATTGTGTTGAGAGTTTTAGGATGTGGATAAAGAGAATATATTCTAAATTTCAATTTGGCATGCCTATGATTTGTGAGAGCCCTAAGATCACTCAAGTGATTGTTACTTTTGTATACTGAAACTCTCAGGATATAACAAGAAAAATAAATGTAAAATAGAGTATCCTAGTTTGCCATCAGGCTATATGCCCAGTGCTTCACTCAGCAAAACTGACAGTGCCAGTTTTCAAAGAATTACTCTCTTTGGAAATATAGAAATATGATTCTGGTGATTATCGAATTGACCCCAACAATGAAGATTTTGAAATTGAAGATGATTCCATTCGTAAGAGATTTGGCAACAGATTTTGTAGTATCCAAAAAGGCTTTAGAGCTGTTAGCATCAATACTGCATGAGAAAAACTTGCTTGAAGAAAGAGCTAAAGCAGAGATAGTCAACCTGGTCCCTACTGCCCACTAGTGGGCGATTTAATTTTTCATGGTGTGCGGTGGAGTTTTTTGTCAAATAATGGGCAAGGAAGATTGAAACATACATGGATATGTTGATACATACACACCCCTTAAAATTTAGTTGTCAACTTGACCAGTCTCCTTCGAGAGTACTTTCCTGTTCCCAAATATTTATGCAGCCTTGTTGTTTGTTAATGAATTTTCTGTCCATTAAAATTTTAATATTGTAAATTATAGTATAAATAGATGCATAAATTTAACTATATATTTTTTACGTAACCTCCACTTAAAAACTGTTTTGTAGTTGTGTTATGTTAAGTTACTATGAATGGGTGGGCAGTATAAAAATTTTACTTGATACAAAGTGAGTGGTAGGTATAAAGAAGATTGATTGCCCTATAGCTGAGGTATCTTACTTTCAATCAAGAAAAAGTGTATTTTCTGTAATGCTTTCAAAGTGATGATGGATTTGTGTATTGCCATAAGGAACATGATTTAATGGAAGAGTTGAGAATTTCAGCCTCTAACACAACTCAATAGCAAATGTTTATCAATAGCTCAAAAGCAGAGTTTGAAGTGTACTTTCATCCACAAAGGAAATTTGTGTGGTGCTTTCAGCTTGTGAGACGAGTATGAAGTCATACAGGGAGTCATTGACTTCTTGCAATATCACATGCACCATTGGATTATTTGTGTTGACCTTAAAATGGTCTGCTTCCTCATTGGACGGCAATACAGATATACAAAGTATCCCTGTTTATTGTGTATGTTGGAGAGCAGAGTTCATGAGAAACATTTGATGCAGTCAAATTGGATAAAATAAAACTGGGTCCCATGAAGCAAGTTGTTTAAGCTTTGCCATTTGAAGGAGACTGTTTCAAGTATCTCATTTCGGCATTTCCTAGCCTGTTATTCGAAAAGATAAAGGCCAGTTTGTTTGATGGTTCATGTATTTAGCAGCTCCTTAAAGACCAACATTTCATCAGAACATTGACAGAACTTCAAAAGAATGCTTGGTTGGCATTCAAAAACATTGTCAAAGGCTTGGAAATACACAAGCACAGAATTATGGCACAATTGTCTGGTAACTTTTAGAGAGCTTCAAACTGTTTCATTGCAACATGAGCATCAAACTGCATTTTTTATATAGCCATCTTGATAACTTCACGAAAAATCTTAGTGCAGTAGTTGATGAGCAGGAATGAGGGATTCCACCAAGATATGAAGCTCATAGAGGTATGGTACCAAGGTAGATGGGATGTACGCTGAGCACCAAAAAAAAAAAAAAAAAAAAAGTTCTATATCTACCATTCTACTAGGCCGATTGACGAAATTCAAATTGCATTTTCCATGTCTCGAAAGCGCTACTTAGGATATATATTACATTTATATATAGAAGTACTAACTCTAACGTAGGTATTTTGACACAAAATCGGACTTTTTTTTTAAATAACATACCAACCTTAGTACTTGTGGTACTTAAGTTATTTTTTTTTAATACATACCATAAGTACTAAGATCTAACATAGTAATTTTGACACAAAATCTGACTTTTTTTAAATAACATACCAATTTTTCCCATATTTCGATTCTATGACTCAGATTATACCAAGATATTAAATTTTGTAATCTTTGGTGAGAAATTTGTGGAGAAATTAAAAAATTTATCTTAGTAAATTTTTTCAATTTGAGCCAAGAATAATTCACTTGGCAAACTTCTTAATTTTTAGCAACCTATTTTCCTATATTTTTTTTCATTGTCCATGAGCGGAAAAAGTCGTCATTTATACTTTCAAATAATTTTAACAAAGTGCGTAAACCACATTAATTAAATCAAAAATGCGCCAATATGTAAATTCACGTATATCTTAGGAAATTTTGAATACAAAATTCTAATTTTTTGCAGGTATGCTTAGAAATACATCTACTTTAAGATGATGGCAAAAATTTTATAGGTTATAATTCAAAATTGTTTTTAAAAATTTATAAAAATTATTTTTAAATAAAAATTTTAAAAATAAATGATAAAAAATGGGCAAGTTTTGTTTGGAATGAGCCTGAAATTCGAAATATGAAAGGAAGTATCAAATAAGTTTAATAAAAAGAGATATTAGTAAATATATATCGAATTCAATTAACATTGAAGAGCTTATTTTGTAAAAACTGCTCGTGTAAAACTTGGCAGTTTGGCATAATTTGAGTCGTAGAATTGAAATATGGAAAAAAATTGGCATGTCATTTCAGAAAAAGTCTGATTTTTTGTCAAAATATTTATATTAGAGCAACGCTATCTATAAATCTAATACATATCCTAAGTCACACTTTAGAGACATGAAAAATGCAAGTTGAATTTCGTCAATCGGCCCAGTAGAATGAGAGATATAGAATTATCCCAATTTTTTTCTTGCGAGGGGGGGGCATTGTACATACACTGGTTTCTGTAAATTAAGGAAAAATTGCACACCCCCCCCAAAAAAAAGGTTCCTCATTCAAAATTAAGCCAATCCATATAAAATTTGAATATCTTTACAAATAAGAATTTCTGAGTAAAACTGCAGTATGTATACAAATTAGAGGCACTGCAGTAGAATGAGAGATATAGAATTATCCCAATTTTTTTTTGCGAGGGGGGGCATTGTACATACACTGGTTTCTGTAAATTAAGGAAAAATTGCACACACACCCCCCCTAAAAAAAAAGGTTCCTCATTCAAAATTAAGCCAATCCATATAAAATTTGAATATCTTTACAAATAAGAAATTCTGAGTAAAACTGCAGTATGTATACAAATTAGAGGCACTGCAGTTGAAATACGTCATGTGGAAGAAGCATAAAATTGCATGTATGAAAGCAAGTCTGCAAATTTCGCTATGATACTAAGATAAGAAACCTGCAGTAGCGAATTCATGACAATGACCTCCACGCATCATTTGCCCAAAGAATTGTGATGGATAGCTATTGGGAAAGGCAAGACAAAGTCAGAAATGGCCACACGGCTAAATGTGTGTCCTTCTGTAGTTCATAGACTTTGGCAACAATTTTTAACCACAGATTTGGCATCCAGGAGTTTCAGCTAAGGACAGCCAACTGCTACAATGACCACTGATGACCAATATTTGTTGTTATGCACATGAAGGAATAGAACCACAACTCTGACTCGTTGGATCCTCCTTTGCTGCAGCCACTGTAAGAATGATATCAACGTCAGCCATGTGTAGAAAGCTGAGGGGACCAGCCATTTTCATGCTGCTCACATCACGACATAGAAGGAAATGGCTGATCAATGGAAGGCTGTTTTCTTTATGGATGAGTCCAGGTTTAGCCTATAAAGCAATAGTAGGCATTGTTTGATTTGGATAGAACCTGCAACCCACTATCATCCATCTGTTTGTGAAAGGGATGCATGTGGAGGAGACAGGGTCTGTGT